AATCGGGGTAATTTCTTCCAAAAGAGAAAACCATGGGCTTCTAATGACGTGTTCCGGGGGGGGCGGGGGGGTGGGAGTTGCCAGGGAAAGGTCAATGGGGGGAAAGGAGACATATGTAATACTTTAAACCAGCGGTTCTCAACCTGTGGGTCTCCACCCCTTTGGCGATCTAACGACCCTTTCACAGGGGTCGCCTAAGACCATCGGAAAACACATATATCATTACATATTGTTTTTGTGATGAATCACTATGCTTTCATGATGTTCAATTTGTAACAATGCAAATACATCCTGCATATCAGATATTTACATGACGATTCATAACAGTAGCAACATTACAGTGATGAAGTAGCAACGAAGATAATTTTATGGTTGGGGGTCACCACGACATGAGGAACTGTATGAAAGGGTCGCGGCCTTAGGAAGGTTGAGAACCACTGCTTTAAACAATAAAGAATTTAAATTAAAAAAAAAATAGAGGGGCCTGCTGCGGGGTGAGAAGAGGCTTCGTGATGACTGGGAGAAGTAAGCCCCTAAGCCTGGCGTTGGAGGGGTGCGTCCAGGGCAGTAGTTGGGAGGTGCTGGGGAAGCAAGCAGGAGGCTGCCATTCTAAGGCAGAGGGCTTTGGGGGACCCCCTCTCCCCACATGCATCAGGGAAGTTAGGCAACAAGAGGGCCTCCACTGGCTACTTCAGGGAGGACATGGGTTTTCAGACCGAGACGCCCGCATTGGAAAGCATGAATGTTGCCGCAGGAAGGCACAAGCAGAGATGCATGGAGTGCGAGGCATGCAATTCCAGGCGTTAGCACTGTCTCTGAGAGCCAGTGGTCTTAGCTAGAACCCCTCACAGCGCCCTTATCACCTCTGCCTCCTGAGCCCCTGGATGAGGTCGCTGCCCTGCTGGACTTCCAGCGCCTTCTGGTCATGTTACCTGGATGCACCTGTGGCATTCCGCCCAAGGCCTGCCAGATACTATATGCCCAGCCCAAGTGAGGATGGAGAATTTCATGCATCTCAGTCCATTGCTAACTAGTTAATTGTTAACTCTCCTGTACTTTCCGGGGCCACTTTGCAAGTACAGGTAAGTCATCTGGATCCACTGTGGCTTGTAATTTGAGAGGTGTAATTTGTGGGGTTTTTTTAAAAAAAATATTTTATTGATTTTTTACAGAGAGAAGGGGAGAGGGATAGAGAGTTAGAAACATCGATGAGAGAGAAACATCGATCAGCTGCCTCCTGCACATCCCCTACTAGGGATGTGCCTGCAACCTAGGTACATGCCCTTGACCAGAATCGAACCCGGGACCCTTCAGTCCACAGGCCAACGCTCTATCCACTGGGCCAAACCGGTTAGGGCAAGTTGCAGGCTCTTGGAAGGTGCCTGGAATACTTAAAGTCAAAGGGCAGGGCTACACTTGATAAGCTCAGGGGAGGGAGGCCTGCATGGTGGGCCTTACAAACACAGAGACTCAAAGTAATCACATAGGATGGTCTGAAATTAAAACTTTCTCTCTTATTTTAAAATATATTTTTATTGATTTCAGAGAGGAAGGGAGAGGGAGATAGAAACTTCATTGATGAGAGAATCATTGATTGGCTGCCTCCTGCATGCACCCTACTGGGGATCGAGCCCGAAACTTGGGCACGTGCCCTTGACCAGAATCGAACCAGGGACCCTTCAGTCCGCAGGCCAATGCTCTATCCACTGAGCCAAACTGGCTAGGGCTGAAATTAAAACTTTCTAACTAAAAGCGAGTAATGCAGGTAGTCACCTCCTAGGCCAGTATTTTCCCTCATAAAGGTCGATCTTTTCTTCTTTTTTTTTAAAATATATTTTATTGATTTTTTACAGAGAGGAAGGGAGAGAGAGAGAGAGTTAGAAACATGGATGAGAGAGAAACATCGATCAGCTGCCTCCTGCACATCTCCTACTGGGGATGTGCCCGAAACCCAGGTACATGCCCTTGACCGGAATCGAACCTGGGACCTTTCAGTCTGCAGGCTGACGCTCTATCCACTGAGCCAAACCGGTTTCGGCAGGTCGATCTTTTTTTTCTTCAAATATATATTATTGATTTCAGAGAGGAAGGGAGAGGGAGAGAGAGCTAGAAATATCAATGATAAGAGAGAATCATTGATTGGCTGCCTCTGCAGGCCCCAGACTGGGGATGGAGCCCCGCAGCCCGGGGATGTGCCCTGACCAGGAATTGAACCAGTGACCTCTTGGTTCCAGGGTCTACCCTCAACCACTGAGCCACACCAGGCTGGACCTAAAGGTTGATCTTTACCTTAACTGAGCCTATTGTCTTTTTGCATCTAAAATAACTGCCTGTGGAATGTTGAGGTAATTTCCTTTTTCCAGACCCCTCGGGTCACAATCGCCCACCGGAGGAGAGACTACCAAGCCTCTCATTGTTATGTAGAAGAAGTATCTACTTACTTTTTATGCGATCCCCCAATTCTCCTCACCACTCCCCTTTGCTCTTTGCTCTTTCCCCCCTCCCAAATCTATCTCCAGTGGATATCCTGTAACCCCCTTCTGCTTTCTCTTTTGATTATAATGTGTAAAATACGCCAGAGAATGGCGAAACTTTCCCAATCCGTTGAGATTTTGCTGCCCAGCCATGGTCAGTTTGGTTCAAATAAACTCATCACGATTCTTACAGGTTTGGAAGTTTTTTCCGCTGGTAGTTCCTTCCTGCCCTTTGACCTTTCAGTAGTCGAGGCAGCGGGGCAGAGGTGAGGGAGGGTGTTAGGGTCACGGAAGAAGGAAGGTGACCCTAATAGAGGGCACCTTCACAGAGCTCGTATCAGTGATGGCGAACCTATGACACGCGTGTCAGAGGTGACACGCGAACTCATTTTTTTGGTTGATTTTTCTTTGTTAAATGGCATTTAAATATATAAAATAAATATCAAAAATATAAGTCTTTGTTTTACTATGGTCGCAAAGATAAAAAAATTTCTATATGTGACACGGCACCAGAGTTAAGTGAGGGTTTTTCAAAAGGCTGACACGCCGAGCTCAAAAGGTTCGCCATCACTGCCATAGGTGCAAACACAGACCTTCTGCCTTCTCCTGGATTCTGCCCCTAAAGGAGCGCCCCCATTCCCACGGCCTGGGAGGATTTTCACGTTTATCTACCTATCTGTATGCATCAACTTGCTCCCACATCTCAACTCTACATCCCCAAACACAAAGATCCCAGAAGAATGTCCGCTCCCCCTCCCCCAGCTAAACAGGGGCTGAGAAGGAAGAAGACCGCCCTTGGCTAAGAATTGCTAGGAATTTGATCGGCCTTTACAAGTGGTCATTTCAAAGCTTCTGCCGGTTGTGTGTGTGTGTGTGTGTGTGTGTGTCTGTGTGTCTGAGAGAAGCAGCCTTGAAGGGTCTGGCTGGTTGGGACCCTGTCTGGTGCCTGGCAGGCCCTTGGGGCTGGGGAGCAGGGTGTGAAGTATGAACTCTGTATCTGATTCAGCCACGCTGAGCTGGGTTATTGGAGAAATGAGGCTTTTCTGCAAGTCAGGCACCTTGCTGGGGAGACTTGGTTCTGGACTTGGTGTGCCAAAGCTCCCTGGCCAAAGACCAGCCCTGTCTGGCGGAAGCCCCCAGGGCAAGCATGTCAAACTCAAAGCCCGCGGGCCACATGCTTCACTTATTTGGCCCCTGTTAGCCTTTGAGTTTGACATGCTTGCCCCCAGAGCGTTAATCAGCATTCTAGATTCTAGAAAGACAACTATGGACTCCAGAAATGAAATTCTTTTTTAGAAAAATATATTTTATTGATTTTTTACAGAGAGGAAGGGAGAGGGATAGAGAGTTAAAAAACATCGATGAGAATGGTCATTACCAAGGCTTTTAGAATGCAGTTTCTCATTTGCTGTGGACATGACCACAAAACATTTCCCCAATAGGTTTTTTTTTTCTGCTATGTTGGTAGCATAGCATTCAGCCTACTGGGAACATTTAAAAAAAACAACAACACATCGCTGAGAGAGAAACAACAATCAGCTGCCTCCCACATACCCCCACCGGGGATATGCCCGCAACCAAGGCAAATGCCCTTAACTGGAATTGAACCCGGGACCCTTGAGTCCTCAGGCTGACGCTCTATCCACTGAGCCAAACCGGTCAGGGCTAGAAATGAAATTCTTTAAAAAAGACAAATATCTTTGCCCGGTAGGTGTGGCTCAGTGGTTGAGTGTCGACCTAAGGAGGCTAAAAAGCTAATTCCAATGTAACCCTGATATTTGGGGGGCTAGCATTCAGAATCCATGCCAGCCAGCCCAATGTACATTCTTGATAACCTGTAATGAAGTCATTACTTCTTTTCCAGAAACTGGTCTTGCAGAACCTGTTGCAGAGGCCATAAAACTGTGAACAGTGCACTGTCCCGGAGGGAGGGTTATTAACGCTGGAGCCAGGCCAAACCATCAGATATGGCCTGGAGACCCCCAATAACCTGGTGGCTTTCTTGCAAGGCCCGAAAAAAGGACCAGAAGCATAATCCATATTTGCGGGACAAAGACCACAGGGAGATATAAAGAGAAGCCCCCTGCATTTTACTTTACTCAGATTTGGAAAGTTATTCCCTGAGTCCGCTGGCGCATTAAACAGTGTCCCTCCCTTTCTCTAAAAACGTCGCTTGGTTTTTCTTTGGTCTTTCGAACAGACGTATGAACCAAGGGGTCACAATTTGATTCCCGGTCAAGGGCACATGCCTGGGTTTCGGGCTGGATCCCCAGTAGGAGGCGTGCAGGAGGCAGACGATCAGTGATTCTCATCATTGATCTTCCTATCTCTCTCGCCCTCTCCCTTCCTCTCGGAAATCAATAAAAATGCATTAAAAGGGAAAGAGAAGACAAATATCTTTGACCTGTGGATGTGCTGGGGAAGGAGTGGATTCTGGCTGAAGGCCCCTGTCCCAGGGAATTCCTCTGCTGAGGTTGGTAGAACCTTGGACAGCACAGCGGGGAGCAAGGCTGGGAAAGGAGATGTTAACGTAAAAAAACATTGAAACCTGTAAAGAATTTTTTTGAGTTTATTTGAGCCAAACTGTCGACCTATGCTGGGAACAGAAGCTCAATGGATTGAGATAATGCTCCGAAGATTGGTGGGTTACATCTGTATTTATACATGGCAATCAAAGGAAAGGGACGTAGGTGGGTTACATGAAATCCCCTGGTGATAGATTAAGGAAGTAGGAGAAAGTGAAAGGGCGAGGGCTATGCCCTCCATCTTGCCCCGAATCCTCCATTTTTGGGCAGCAGCCATGTGCTCAGCAAGGAACTTCTTCCCGGAAGCCCAAGCCTCTGCTAGCCACACCTAGGATTTCTTTAAACTAACCAATGATAATCAAGGGAAGTGCGCGCCATAGACACAACCACATCCTGTGTAACAAGACCCAGACTTGCGCCTGGCCAATCGGCAGGGCCCACAGTCCTCTCTCCTCCCCGTACTATAAAACCCCTCTCCCCACAGAGCTAGCTGGCTCTCTGCTTCCTGCCGCTGCGTCGGCGAATGGGGTAGACGGGGAGTCTGAGCTAGCTCGAATAAAGACTCTTTTGCTTCTTGCATCGGACTCGGCTGGCTCCCTGGTGGTCTATTGGGGATCCTGAAATCTGGGCATAACAGAAAGCAAAGGGGGGAGGGGGAAACACCTGGGATTGGATAAAAAGGAAAATGTTGGACAGATGCTTCTTTTACATAGATAGATAGAGGATAGTTTAACATAATTAACAATTGATAACAATAACCATGAGGGAATGTCCTGGTGCCCTTTGTTGGGCCCTGTGGGGTCCGGAAAAAAGGAAGTTACAAGTTACCCAGACATTTCCCAGATATGTTATCTTAGAGGCAAAAAGACAATGGGCTCAGTAAAGATCTACATTGATCTTTGTCAGAGAAAATACTGGCCTAGGAAATGACTACCCACTATAACCTGTTTGTAGTTAAATATTTAATTTTCAGACCATCCGTTGTGTTGACTTTAGGTCTCTGAGTTTGCAAGACCGCCATGCAGGCCTCCCCTGAGCTTGTCAGGTGAGCATGTGGCCCCTTTTGTCCACAGAGACACCCCCCCAAGGGTCCTGTGAGAAGGGTTTCATGTCTTAGGGTCAAAAGGTTGGGAATGCTAGGTGACGTCATTAGGGGCTCCAGGACCTGCTGAGAACTGGAGGGTAAAACAAGATTTAGTACAAAGCATTGTTGGGAAGGAAGAATAAAAACATTTTCTCTACCCTCTTGGGTTCTGTACCTGAGGGCCTGTGAATTACATTTACAAAAGACAGATTAACAAGAGAGTAGACTTTATTTACACACAGCCTTGCTCAATGATGACTAACTCCAAATCGGGGTGAGAATTAGGGGCTTATCTGTCTAATTTAGCTGGGGAAAGGGAAGGGGAATAAAAAGCTTCTATGGGCCCTGGCTGGTGTGGCTCACTGGTTAGAGCCTCGGCCTGCGGACTGAAGGGTCCCGGGTTCGATTCTGGTCAAGGGCATGTACCTCGGTTGCAGGCTCCTCCCTGGCCTCGGCCCTGGTCAGGGCTCGTGCAGGAGGCAACCAATCGATATGTTCCTCTCACATAGATATTTCTATCTGTCCCTCCCTCTCTCTTCTACTCTCTCTAAATAACAATGAAAAAATATCCTCGGTGAGGATTAAAACAAACAAAAAGCTTTCTGTCTCCTTCAGGGCTGTGAAACTAAGGACCGGATTTATAGTAGGGTTACTCTCGCTCCCTTTCCTGGGAGTACACCCACCCCGAAGAGGGAATTAATGGCGATCCTAATTTCTCAGAAGTTTCTGTTTGTAGTCAGATAGGCAAGTCACCAGAGGCTTCTTTTTGTATCTGTTGAATTTCAAATGTCTCTGGCTTAAAATCTTCTTTATACCAACTCTGGGCTTCTAAATGGGTCCTCACACCACACAGTTTGGCAGATGCTCAGTGAATTTTTTTAAAAAGATATTTGTATTGATTTCAGAGAGGAAGGGAGAGGGAGAGAGAGATAGAAACATCAATAATGAGAGAGAATCATTGATCGGCTGCCTCCGGCACACCCCACACCGGGGATCAAGCCCACAACCTGGGCATGTGCCCTTGACCAGATTCGAACCTGGGACCCTTCAGTCCTCAGGCTGGCGCTCTATCTACTGAGCCACACCGGCTAGGGCCCTCCTAGCTTCTTACTACCCTGCCTCACGTCCAGCTGGAGGATGAGAAGAGGGGAGGAACTGGAGAGGCTGGTGCTGGCGATGGTGGTGCTGATGGGGTTAGCCAGTGACCAGCTCTCCTGGCCTGGATTTTACTGACACCTCGCCCGCCACCCTGCCCAGCCTGGGCGCTTGCCCCAGGCCTTCCTGAATTCCACTTCCAGGAAAGGACTTAATGTTCTTCTGGCAATGGCCTTGCTCTGGACTCAGGCGTGAGATGATGGGGTGTCCAGATGTCCAGCTGGCCCAGTTAGAAAGGCTTTGATCAGGGCCCTATAAAAATAGATCTTTCTAAGGCCTTTCTTTCACTTCCTCTCTACTCAGCAGAGCGAGTACCCACCCAACCCAGGTGTGGGCGTGTTTCTTGTCCGCAGCAGATGCAGGCTGCTGGAACCGTTCTGGGCCAGTGAGGCCACTCCCCTTGGTGCCATTAACCCCTTGGGAAGGAAGAAAGGAGACAGACTCTGAAGAAAGAAAATAAAGGTGCCTGCCCGGCCATTGTGGCTCAGTGGTTGAGCATCTAACCATGAACCAGGTGGTCATGGTTCGATTCCCGGTCAGGGCACATGTTAGGGTCGCTGAAGGAGGAACACACAAGGCCAAAAGGGGTAAAGAATTATGCATTTATTAGGTCACCTGGAAAACCACATGGGCTGAGCCCCAAAATGGCACTAGCCCCCAAAGAAGGGGAGTCAGAGGTTTTTAAAGGACTCTAGGCAGGCTTTTTTTTTAAAATATATTTTATTGATTTTTTACAGAGAGGAAGGGAGAGGGATAGAGAGTTAGAAATATTGATCAGCTGCCTCCTGCACTCTCCCTACTGGGATGTGCCCAGAACTAAGGTATATGCCCTTGACTGGAATCGAACCTGGGACCCTTGAGTCTGCAGGCTGACGCTCTTTCCACTGAGCCAAACCGGTTAGGGGTCTAGGCAGACTTTTGCTGGACGGAGAATTCTCTGTGCAGGTCTGGATCCTGGGAAGGTACAGAGGGGAGAGATAATGGTCTTAGCAAGTGGAATGTGGTCTAAGGGAAAGGGAATGTCCGTTGTGAAGTGGCCTAAGGGTCAGTTCCCAGGGGAGGGGTATCAATTCAATTATTTGATCAGACCTAACACCGGGTGGCAGGCTCAATCCTTCGTAGGGGGCTTGCAGGAGGCAGCCGATCAAGGATTCTCCCTCATCATCGATGTTTCGATTTCTCTCTCCCTCTCCCTTTCTTTCTAAAATCATAAAAATATATTTAAAAAAAAATAAATAAAAAGAAGCCCTAACCGGTTTTGCTCAGTGGATAGAGCATCGGCCTGCAGACTGAAGGGTCCTGGGTCCAATTCCAGTCAAGGGCACATGCCCAGGTTGTGGGCTCAATTCCCAGTAGGGGGCGTGCAGGAGGCAGCTGATCAATGATTCTCATCATTGATATTTCTATCTCCCTCTCCCTTCCTTTCTGAAATCAATAAAAATATATTTTTAAAAAAGTAAAAAGGCCCTGACCAGTTTGGCTCAGCAGATAGAGCTTCGGCCTGCGGACTGAAGGGTCCCGGGTTCGATTCCGGTCAAGGGCATGTACCTGGATTGCGGGCACATCCCCTGTTCAGGAGGCAGCTGATCAATGATTTTCTCTCATCATTGATGTTTCTATCTCTCTCTCTCTCCCTCTCCCTTCCGCTCTGAAATCAATAAAAAAATATATTTTAAAAAAAGTAAAAAGTAAATAAAAAGAAAAGGAAGGCGCCTGAGGAGCAGCTGGGCAGGGGTCATCAGACAGGTAAGACGTGAAGCGGGGGCTTGGATCCAGCTCTAACCCCTTGTGCAGCAGCCGGTGGGTGAGAAGATACGTCCGGAGGCCGCTCAGCTGTGAAGAGGGGACCTTTGGCTGGTCCGGAGTGTCCGGCTTCAGGCGTCAGAGGAGGGGAGATCAGGGTGGGGTAGTCGCCAGAGACATCAGGGAGGACAGTGGTTAATTGAAGCCCCAGCCGAAGCCAGAAAACTCCCATAAAGGAACCTCAGAATGCCACCCACCTTTCTGGTTTCAGCGAGAAAACACGTTTGCGTTTTTGAAACTGAGAGTGTATTTATTCCCCAGCACTGGGCCCTGGCCCTTGGCCTTTGGGTTAGCAACAAAAGCGGGCTGTTTGGTCCCTGGGCAGGGATGTTTGCTCACAGAGCAGGAGTGCGCTGAGCAGTGGCTCTGGGAAGGAGGGTGTGCGTTTGCAGGCCGTGAGCGTAAAGGCCATGAGTGTGAGGCCGCTGTGTATTCTGCTCAAGCTCATGTGACGTCTGCGCTCCCAAATGCTGGAAAGCAGAGGAGGAGGTGCGGCCGGGCAGCCTCTTCTCTCCTCTTTACATTGATGGAGTTGGATAGTGTTGACCAATAATTGTAAACCAGCCTCTTAGAGATAGTTTTTTAAAAATATATATTTTATTGATTTTTTTACAGAGAGGAAGGGAGAGGGATAGAGAGATAGAAACATTGATGAGAGAGAAACATTGATCAGCTGCCTCCTGCACATCTTCTACTGGGGATGTGCCGGCAACCAAGGTACATGCCCTTGACCGGAATCGAACCCGGGACCTTTCAGTCTGCAGGCCGACGCTCTATCCACTGAGCCAAACCGGTCAGGGCGAGATAGTTGTTTTTTAAAAAAAGAATATATATTTTTATTGATTTCAGAGAGGAAGAGAAAGATAGAAACATCAATGATGAGAGAAAATCATTGATCAGCTGCCTCCTGAACACCCCCTACTGGGATCGAGCCCGCAACCCGGGCATGTGCCCTTGACTGGAATTGAACCCAGGACCCTTCAGTCCGCAGGCCGATGCTCTATCCGCTGAGCCAAACCGGCCAGGGCTGGGATGGTTCTTTCTACCACGCTGCACTCTGAGGACACTGGTGAAAGGCTTCCATCTCCAGAAGTGAAATTGCAGGTAGAGTTATTTTCTTGTCCAGTACCAAGACCCTTTTCCGGTTGGCTGTTGGCTGTATTCCATAAAATGCTTGATTTCATGAACTCTGAGCAGGTGCTAGCAAATACTACACATTTGAGTATAGCTGGCTGCAGCCAGCACATCAATATTTTCTGTGTTAATTGCCAGAGTGGCCGTGTAAGCATATTGTAGAAGGGGGATAAAACCAGTCACTGTAACAAGATGCAAATCAAACACATTCTTTAAAAAAAATTATATATATATATATATATATATATATATATATATATATTGATTTCAGAGAGGAAGGGAGAGGAGGAGAGTTAGAAACAGTGATGATAATCATTGATTGGCTGCCTCCTGCACGCCCCCTACTGGGGATCGAGCCCACAACCCGGGCATGTGCCCTTGACCGGAATCGAACCCGAGACCTTTCAGTCCACAGGCCCATGCTCTATCCATTGAGCCAAACCAGCTAGGTCTCCAACACATTCTTGTCCTCATCCTCTGCTTGGCCTACAGGTTTGGTGCGGAGAAAAAAAATCACTGCAAACTGCTAGTACCTGGCAAATTTTGTCCTGGACACGAATGGTGCGATCACAGACATGGCCTCATTTCGCAGCAGCTTAGCTTTCGAAGCATTTTCTCACTGTGGGAAGAAGAGCCACTGAGTATATGTTTCCTCACCCATCTTTTCCTTCCTCTTCTGCAGATGCTCTTCAAGGATGCAAATGCATCGGAAACGGCCTGCGGGCGGCACTGCGGGGACCGGGAGGCCTGGTGCGTGGCGCCTCGCAGCAGCCAGGTGCCCGCGAGCCGGGAGCGTGCGGCGTGGCGGGGGGCAGGCGCCCGTGGCGCTCGGGGGAGCCTTAGGAGAGGAGCGAGGGGACGGCCGTTGGGGCCGGTTCGCCGTAGGCAGGCGGCTGTGGAGGCAGCGCAGCGACGGCTCGTGTTTTCCTGGCGTCGGGGGGTGGGGGGAGGGAAGGGGAAGGGGGGTAAGAGGAGGGGAAGGGAGGTTGGGAGGGAGCCGCCGCCTATCAACTCCATGTCAAAGGATGCTGCTAGGATGTGCTCTGCTTCCTTTGAATGCACATCATGTGAGTTCCTTTTTTTTTTCTTTTTCCAATATATTTTTATTGACTTCAGAGAGGAAGGGAGAGGGAGACAGAGATGGAAACCTCAATGATGAGGGAGAATCATGGATCGGCTGCCTCCTGCACGCCCCCTACTGGGGACGCAGCCGGCAACCGGGGCACCTGCCCCCGACCGGAACCCAACCGGGACCTTGCAGTCCGCAGGCGGGGTCTCTAACCACTGAGTTACACCAGCCAGGGCCACCTGCGTAGGGTGGATTCCTACACGTGGAATTGCTAAGCCTCCTGGGCTCCGCGCCTGTCACTTTGACAGGGATTACCCGGTCGCTCCCTGGAGAAGCTGAACCAATTGGCACGCCCTCCGACAATGCCTGCTGGGGCCTGTTCGCCACAGCCTCCTGCTCACAGCGAGCTCCTCACTTGCTCTGTGCCATTGCCAATCTGATAAGTGAAGCTGGTATTCAGTGTGCTTGCAATTTTCGTTAGTATGATGCATAGGGTTTAGCTATTTAAGTCTAAAGTAAAAAAAAAAAAATACAGCTAAAACCCAAACAACTCCATCTGCGCTCTTCCCTGTCCAGTCTATTTAGACCGGGCGCCGGGTCACACCACCCCCAACCCAGAGGCCGGGCGGGCGTGGCCGGGCAGGAGGTGGGAGGCGAGGACCCTTGGGTCCCTCCGCCTCCGACCCCCTCGTCACTCCCTGCTGCGGAGCCCCGCCCCGAGTCCGCCCCTGGCCGGCCTGGGCGGAGCTCGCGGGCCAGTGGGAGGTGCAGCGCTGCCTGATTTATTCCGGTCCCGGAGCTGGAGTGAGAGCCCGCGGTCTGTCTGCACGGCCCGATCTTCAGTCCCGCGCCGGGTCCCCCACTTGTGCGCAGCATGCCGGGCCCCCGCCTGCTGGCCGCGCTCTGCGGCGCGCTGCTCTGCGCCTCCGGCCTCTTCGCCGGCTCCGGTGAGTGATCGCGCCGCCCTCGCCCCTCCTCTCCGCTCGGAAGTTCGGCGCGGCGCCCTCCCTCCACCTCCACTGTTGACAAACTTGGGCAGGGAGTCTCGGCGGGGCCGAGGGGCGACCTCCCCGGCTGCGCCCCCGCTGCGCCCCGGCTGGCGGCCGCGCTGCGCTCGGCCTCTCCCGCCATCTCCGCACTGGGGAGTTTTGGTCGGCGAGAGAGGCTGGGGCGCCGGGCGGTGGCTCGGGACACTGGGTGACAGCCCAGCCATCCCCGGGGAGGTGGCTGCAACATAACAAAGGAATCCGCTGTGGAGGGGCCTCTCTTTCCCCATCTGTATCATGAGGCCATTGCACCGTGACCGCCCCGCGCGCGCCTTCCCGCTGCAAGTTTCTCGGACTCCGGTCCCGATCAGTCTCCGGCCAACTAACTTCCCTCCCGGGCAGCGAATTCCCTCCCAAGCCCTGGCCGCTGGTCCGATCCTTGCAGATTTCCGCCCGCGCGCGCGTGGCGTGGCGCGGCGCTCACCAGCGATAAGAGGGAGGGAGGGCGGGGAAGTGGGTGGGATGCCAGGGCTCTAGGTGGGGCCCGGGAGAGGATTCCCAGGCTGGGGAAGGCCTCGGAAAAGGGCTGCGTCCTGCTGCGGCCGGCCAGGCTGGCTTCCTCTCCGGACTCCTTCCGTGGCCTTGGTCTGCTGTTGTATCTTCCCTGGTCCTCCTCCCCCGCCCACGCCCAGGAGGCCTCCCTCCACCAGCGGGGCCTCCCGCAGGCGGGTCTGGGATGCCTTATCCCCTTGGCAGCGGGGCCCCGCAGTCCTCCTCCTCCAGGACTGGGGGAAGGAGGTGGGTGGGCGACCCCTTCAGGCGCCCCCTCCATCACTTCCAGGACTGACTGGAGCCAGAGGGTGGGCGGATCACAGCGGAGGCCTGGCTCTGACCCCTGACCCCGGGCCTGCAGCAAGAAGCCTTTGAGGCCACGCCAGGCTCCCACGCACTGGGGAGCTGGTGGCTCCCCTCAGTAACCCTTAGAGACCTGGGTCTTGTCCCTTCCCCTTCCTCTCAGTCCCCGCAGCCTGGAGAAATGTACCAAAAGGGCAGGACCCTGAAATCCCAAAGGTGGTTAAGTTAGTAGGGGGGTGATCTGGCTTTTCCTGGGACCGGGAAGTCCTCAGGCTGCTGTGCCCCAGGTGAGTCAGTCTAGGGCCCCCAGGGGAAGGAGGCACCTTGTCCCCTTCCCTTTCCCTTTTTCCCCCTGGACCACGTGGCCCGGCAGCCACTTGGGAGGGCGAGGAAGCGCAGTTGGACTTGGCTGGGACCGGAGCCCAGGACTCTGGCCATTACCAAGGCCCTGTCTGTGCCCGAGCCGCCGCCCGCCGCTGGCCAGGTCAGGGGAGGGGATTAACCTGCTATTTAAAGCCAGTGACTAATAGCGCGTGGGGAGCCGCCTAAGCTCCCGAGGCCCGTGCAAAGGTGGAGTTCTGAGGGCTCCAGAGCTCATTAACGGTATTCCCTTCCCTGCAGCCCGGCCCGGCTCGCGGGGACTTTGGGGTTCCAGGAGGAGGGTGCTCCAGCCCGGCATGGCCAGACTGGCGGGGAGGAACAAATGTTTCACGTGTCTTACCCCGAGCAGGTGTGGGGCCCCGGGGAGCCCTCTGGGACGCTAAGGTCAGAAGCCCCCCCTCCAGGCCTGGCTCACCCCGTTCTCCAGAGCCAAGGGACTCTGGGTAATCGTGCACATCGGCCACCCAGGCAGGCCCCCAGCGGAGGCTGTGATGTCCTCGCCAGCCCTCCTCCCACGTCTGAAGCCCTCGTCCAGTGTGTCTCACATCCGCCTGCCCTCCTCACCCCCTCTGCCTTCCTTTCTCACCTGGAGGCCTGGGGCAGCGTCCCCGATGCTCTCCTGGTCCCCTAGATCCCTGATATCCTGTCACCTGTCCACCCAGCAGCCAGAGGGATCTTTGTGTCACTCCCAAGCGCCTCCCCACCCCAGGCGAGGCCAGCCCATCTCGGCAGATAACAGTTCCCTTCTCGGAATTGGAACCAGGGTCCCCATCCCTCCAACCCGAGTGAGGATCTCTGATTTGCTTTTTCCTGGTGGGTCATGGTAGGGAGGCTGAAGGAAGGTGACGAGGCCTTGGTGTGCAGGTAGAAAAGTCTAAAGTTGTCATTCTTGTTGTCCCTTCCGGTCCGGTCCCAGCCCACCTGGTTAGCTGTCTTACTGGTCTCCCAGTGTACGCAGCTCTCTGTGCTTCTGCCTTTTTTTTTTTTTTTTAATAAATAGATTTTTATTGATTTCAGAGAGGAAGGGAGAGGGAGAGAGAGAGAGAAACATTAATGATGAGAGAGAATCATGGATCGGCTGCCTCCTGCACGCCCCCTCCTGGGGATCGAGCCTGCCACCCGGGCATGTGCCCTGACCGGGAATTGAACCGTGACCTCCTGGTTCACAGCTCAGTGCTCAATCACTGATCCATGCCGGCCAGGCCTGCCTTTCTTTAGCATGTCCTCTCCTCATTCCCCTGCTCGGTGCACCCCCCACCCCATCTTTTATGCCAGCTCACAGAACTGCAGTCTCCCTGGCAGAAACCACTGGAAAGTGGCCCCTTGTGTAGGCTCACGGGGCCTGTCAACCCCATTCACTGGTCCCCGTGACTCCTGGAGGCCTGGGCTACGCCTGATTTCTCTGTCTCGGGGGCCCAGCACTTACGTACATGGTAGTGGGCCCCCCAAGCATTTACTGTGCGAAGGAATTTGTTCCTGAGCTGGAGCTGCCGCTGCAGGTGACTTCTGTGACTCCATCGAGTGCCTGAACGGTGGGACCTGCCTGTCACAGGACGAGCTCCCCTTCTATTGCCTCTGCCCCGAAGGCTTTACGGGGCCCATTTGCAACGAGACTGAGAAAGGTACCTGCCCTGGGTGGCACCTGCCTCCCTCCGCCTCCCCTCGCTCCCAGTCGCAGCCCAGGCTGCTGGGGTGAGCCGGTCTGTGTTGCAGTGGGCAGTGTCCCCCGCACCTGTCGGTTGTCAGCCAGCATTTCCCTGGAACCTGCCCCCCCCCCTCTCCGCAAGCCCCTTGCAGAGCTGGGTGCTTCCTTGATTCCTTGATTTGGGCTGATCCACCCACACATGACCCTCCCTGGCGCCAGGCTGGCCCAGGCCCCACCAGGCAGGGTGGGGGAGGGAGGGAAGGCCTGGGAGAGGGAGGTGGGCAGTGGGCGGAGCTTAGGCAGAGGGTCCCTTTGGGCTAGGTCCAACGGCTGCTGTCTGTCTCTGCCACCCCCCTGTTTCCCACCCCCCGTCCCCTCCCCCTCTTTCCTGATCACCTGCCCATCTAACTGCCTCCTCCTACCCAGGTCCCTGTTTCCCAAACCCCTGCCGCAACGATGCCGAATGCCAGGTGCTTGACGAGGAGGCACACCGTGGCGATGTCTTCAAACAGTATGTCTGTGAGTGCAAGCAAGGCTACTCGGGCGTCCATTGTGAGAGCAGTGAGTATCTGGGGCCTGCCCCGCTGTGGGGGAGGGGAGGGAGGGGGGAAGACCCTGAGCCACAGTCCTGGCAGCCGGGCCATGTCTGGTCTTATTAGCCTCTGTGTCAGGGCCTCCTCTGGGTAGATCGAGGGTGGGTCAGAGCCCACGTGAGGCCATAGGGTGGGGGCGGGGTTTGGTTGCTCCTCCCCTGGCTTCTTTCCTGGGGCTGCAGGCCAGGCCAGATGTCCCTGCAGGGGGAGTGAGGGGGGATGGTGGCCCCTGAATCATGCGAGCGCTGCTTCCTGGGTCCCCATGAACCAGATAAAGAGCATCAGGGTTAAGTGTTGGGGTTTTTCTTTCTTTTTTGTTTTGTTTTTGTTAATAGACTTTTATTGATTTCAGAGGGGAAGGGAGAAGGAGAGAGGGATGGAAGCATCAATGATGAGAGAGAATGATTGATTGGTTGCCTCCTGCACACCCCCCACTGGGGATCGAGCCCGGAACCCGGGCATGTGCCCTTGACCAGGAACCCAACCTGGGTGCCTTCAGTCTGCAGGCCGATGCTCTAACCACTGAGCAACCCGGCTAGGGCAAGTGTTGGGGTTTTTCTACCAAGAGGGGAAAAGAAACACATTTTTAATCTTTTGGAGCCCGGGAGGTCAGTCAATGAAGCTTGGGCCTCAGGGTCTGACAGCTCCCGGCCCATGTTTGATCTTCGGCCTCGTTATGGAGGTGAGGAGGGCGGGGCCTGGGGAGGCTGGGCTGTCCCATCACAGTCAGAGGCCCAGCATGGCCTGCTGGCCTGCTTGCTTACCCGGCAGCCGCAGAATGGCCCTGGGTGGGCCCAGCTGACATCAGCCGCCGTGGCTCTCATGTCCTCCCTCCTGGTCAGGTGTGAAAAGTCCACACCCAGCCCTGGCCAGCTTGGCTCAGTGGATAGAGTGTCAGCCTGCGGACTGAAGGGTCCCAGGTTCGATTCCGGCTGAGGGCACATGCCTGGGTTGCGGGCTCAATCCCCAGTAGTGGGTGTGCAGGAGGCAGCCGATCAATGATTCTCTCTCATCATTGATGTTTCTATCTCTCTTTCCTTCTCCCTTCCTCTCTGAAAATCAATAAAGAAATATATTAAAAAAGAAAAAAAGAACAGAAAAGTCCACGCCCAGGCCCAGGGATGGCTGCGGGGGTGGGGCGGACTTCTGCAGTCCTTTGTGTCTGTCCCTGAGCATCCTGAGCAGGGGGCAGGAGGTTGTCCTCAGACAGACGAGGGGACACGTGAAGTTTGCTGGGGCCCTGTGGGGAGCAGGTTAATTGATGCCCTTCACCTCACAGGCATGGGCCCTGGGCCGAGGCCAATGTGTTTGACATCCTGGGTGCAGGAGTGTGTGTGGGGAGTGTGTGGGGGGGTGAGGGCTCGCCACGCAGACAGCCCTGGGTGGGGGACAGGTGGGCCCGCTAATTACTGTGCTGGGCGCCGAGGTAACCATGGGTGTGTGCCTGAGTTGGAATTACCCCCCTAGCCTCCTGTGCTTCTGGCCTGGGGTCTGCCCTAGACGGGTGGCACCTGGGCGAGGCAGGAGGCGTCTACAGAGGCCGAGCAGCCCCCCAGAGGGACCTTTGCAGCCCCCCTATTTTTTTTTTTGTTAATCCTCACCCGAGGCTATTTTTCCATTGATTTTTAGAGAGAGTGGAAGAGAGAGGGAAAGACAGAGAGAAACATCGATGTGAGAGAAACACATGGATTGGTTGCCTCTTGCTTGTGCCCTGACCAGGGCCCGGGCCAGGGAGGAGCCTGCAACCAAGGTACATGCCCTTGACTGGAATCGAACCTGGGACCCTTTGGTCCACAGGCCAATGCTCTATCCACGGAGCCAAACTGGCTAGGGCTGCAGCCTCAAGAATGCATGTTTGAGTCCCTAAGGGGACAGGCACGTGGGTGTGAGGATAGTCCAGACCTGGGTTCCGACCTCTGCTCAGCCACTGGCGGCTCTGATCCTGGGTGCCTGTCACACTTGGAGCCCCACTTTGAACCCCATTCTCCCTGCGTGAGCCTGGGGTGCGGCGGTAGGGTGGCCTGAACCTGGGTTCCCTGCTGGGAGCCAGGAGAATGGCTCACCCCTTGACCACTTCGCTGGGGTGATGGTGAAGGTGATGGGGCCCCGGCCAGGGGCGGTTGGGCAGGTGGCTGGGGCAGGACCAGCAGTTGGAAAGGGCAGAGGGTCCAAGAGAAATCAGAACGGCCTTCACGTCCCACCAGTAAACTCGTGCCATATGGGGTTCTAGAAGATTCCACACGGATTTGCTTACGGGTGTGCTTATTGCTTTGGGGGCAGCCCACTGCCCTCTGAGGTGCCCCTTCTCCCAAAGCCGTCCTGGGGGAGCCAGGGGCGGGGCTGGGTGCAGTGGTCCTCCTGATAGGAGCCTCCAGCTGTCAATCACGGCAGCCTCAGGCGTACAGGCCTGGGTGCTGTGCTTGCTTCCTCACCGGGCACCCTTTCCCGGTACCTCCTCTTGGGTCTCGCTGTCCCCTGTGGTCTCTGCTCTGGGTCCCGGGCAGAGGCCACACCGTCTGTCTTCTTATTCTCTCGTCCTCTGGGTCCCGCCTGCGAGGGTGGCCACCCGACTGCCGTCTCCCTCCCTGCAGGGTGCGCCATGCCGCTGGGCATGGAGACGGGGGCCATCGCTGACCGGCAGATCTCCGCCTCGTCCGTGCACTTGGGCTTCATGGCTTTGCAGCGCTGGGCCCCGGAGCTGGCCCGCCTGCACCGCTCGGGCATTGTCAACGCCTGGACAGCCAGCAACTACGATAGGAAGCCCTGGATCCAGGTATGGAAGCGGGGGGCTGGCGGGGGGCATGATGGGAGGAGCAAAGGTGAGATGAGTGTGTGCATTTGGGGGTCACCGTGGGAGGGTTCATCAGGGGGTCCAGGTATCAAGGTAGCAGGTTCCTCCAGATCAGTGGTCGGCAAACTGCGGCTCGCGAGCCACATGCGGCTCTTTGGCCCCTGGAGTGTGGCTCTTCCACAAAATACCGACTTCTGCGCACGGGCCACGAAGTTTCAATCGCCCTGTACGTGCGTGCCCGCGCGTGGTATTTTGTGGAAGAGCCACGCTCCAGGGGCCCAAGAGCCGCATGTGGCTCTCGAGCCGCAGTTTGCCGACCACTGCTCCAGATGAAGTGTCTGTAAGTGGAGAGCAGCCTTGGGGGGCTTGGAGTAGGTGGGCGGGGTGAGGGGGAGCCGAGCCCAGGCTGTGGAGGGGCTGTTTGCACTGGATGAGGTCTCTGGGGGTCTTGTCCATCCTTCTGGGCTTCCCAGAGCACTGGGTCCCCAGTCCTGACAGGGTGGGACGAGAGAGACTCCATCCACCACTTACCCTGCTTGCACTGCCCCTGCTCTGGGTGCGGCGAGTGGAGGAGGTAGAAGGGACGCGGGAGTTGTAAGTGTCCCGTCCTGCCCACCCTGGGTCCAGGTGAACCTGCTGCGGAGGATGCAGGTGACGGGCGTGGTGACGCAGGGCGCCAGCCGCGCAGGCAGAGCCGAGTACGTGAAGGTGTTCAAGGTGGCGTACAGCCTCGACGGGAAAAAGTTCAAGTTCATCCAGGACGACGAGAACTCAGGAGACAAGGTGAGGCCGCCTGGGCCGGAAGGAAGGGCTGTGGTCAGCAGCCCGGGGCTCCAGCGTTGTTCGAGGGCCCCCACTGAGGCGAGGGTAGCCTGGGTGATTGGCCATGAGGGGAGCGGGGTCTTCAAGTGCATCTTTGCTCCCAGAAATTGGGAAACCCAGATTATTGCCATGTTTTGTGGTTACAAGTAAATCGCCTCACTTTATTTATTATTATTATTTTTTCTTATCCTTTGGATATATACCCAGAAGTGGGATTGATGGAGCGTATGATAGTTCTATTTCTAATTTTTTTAAAGGTTTTTTATCTTTTCTTTGTTATTTTGTTGTTGTTAATTCTCACTCAAGGATATTTGTCCGTTGATATTTTAAAAAATATATATTTTATTGATTTCAGAGAGGAAGGGAGAGGGAGAGAGAGAGAGAGAAACATCAATGATGAGAGAGAGAAACATCAATGATGAGAGAGAATCATGGATCGGCTGCCTCCTGCACGCCCCACACTGGGGATCAAGTCCGAAACCTAGGCATGTGCCCTGACCAGGAATTGCACCGTGACCTCCTGGTTCATAGGTTGATGCTCAACCACTGAGCCACACCTGCTGGGCTCCATTGATTTTTTTTTTTTGATTTTTTTTTAGAGAGAGTGGAAGGGAGTGGGAGAGACAGTGAGAGAGAAACATTGATGTGAGAGAGACACATCGATTGGTTGCCTCTGGGGCCAGGGATTGAGCCTGCAACTTAGGTATGTGGCCCTGACTGGAATCGAACCTGGGGCCTTTCAGTCCACAGGCCGATGCTCTATCCACTGAGCCAAACCAGCTAGGGCAATAGCCCCACTTTATAGATGAGAATAGTGAGACTCAACAGTGACCTGTTGGGGGGGGGTGCGGAGGAGGGTAGGGGAGCTGGGGTGCACTCCGAGCCTTCAGGGCCACCACGTACAGCCGTGCAGGTGTCACGCTCAAGGATATCACTAGCAGGCAAGCCCATTCACCACGGGGACAGATGTTTGTGTGCTTCTACCTGTGGGAAAACTGTTACAATAAAGCGACTTGAGAAAGGAGTGCCTTTTCCGAACTCCCACAGGCACCCTGTAGATTGATAGGTGGCCCTGTGTGCAAGACGGGGGTTCATGCCCAGGCACCGTGATGACCAAGGAAGGTGTCACAAGGGGAATCTTGGGGGTGGGGGTGGCCAAGGGAAGCCCACCTGCCCGCCCCCTAGGCCTGAGGAGGAAAAGGACAATCCCAGGACGGGGTCCTGCCCCCATTGACCATCCCTCTACTCCAGTGGTTCTCAACCTTCTGGCCCTTTAAATACAGTTCCCCATGTTGTGACCAACCATACATTATTTCGTTGGCTACTTCATCACTGTCATGTTGCTACTGCGATGATCG